CTTAAAAACAGTATTATTTCCTTTACCAGCCCATTGCGTACAAAAGGGTTTGTCAAACTACAGCACTCATTCTTCACTTCAGAGGCATAACTGCCCAAGGCCCATAGTAGAGGGAAAAAAATAATCTCTGTTACTTATTTCTTCATTTCCTGCAGGTGACAGTTTTCTTTTTGCCATGGTAGAAGTATAGCGATACACTGTACGATGCTCACAATCTTAAGAGCATTTAGACACCATGTAATATATACAGAAATAGATCACACACCACATGAGAAAGGAGGAAACTTCTTCGCTTTCCCCTCCCGCCAACAGATTAATTGCCTGAACAAAAAGGAGAACGGAAAGAAAAAAAAGAGAAAGAGACCAAAGAGATAGTTTCCTAGAGCATACATCTGTCACCATTTCACACTCCTGTTCTTGGGAAAAAGCTTGATGAAACCTATTAGTGTTATATCATGCTTCAAAAGTGGTAACATTCAAGCCCAGGAGATTTCAAGTACTAACCACTCATCATGTCTCTTTAATTATTATTTCCAGTTCAGTCAGCTGGACTGTAAATTAATTATCTTCAGATACCAGTTGCTGTTGAACTATCTTTGGTAATGCACACAGTGGGGCCCTTGTAAGCACCGAGTTGCTCCATGAGCGCTGGGTTCGCAGTACTCACTCACAGATGCAGCACATTAATGCAAAAGTCCTCACAAATTAACCCAAATGGTCAAAAATGCACCTGAGGAAGAGTTCTTTGGGAGCTCACCAAACTCACTGCAGACAACCTCAGGAGTAGCACAGTCATCTGTTAAGAACAACAATTATTTTTCCCTAAATTTTATAAAATGATAGCCACCTTTTATCTTTCAATAAGGGATGATTCAGTCTCAGATCAAGCAATGTCAGCTGTGCACTGGCCCAGGCACAGGATGTCGGCATTTTAAGGTAAACAAGCTAAATGCAAACGTGTTGTTGTGGAACAGTTACTTAGAACCACAGACAGAGGTATAGTGTGCTGCTTGAGTTCATCTGGAAGCATTGCAATTTGAAGTCAAGGAAAAAATGAACATTACAGATTACAGATTCACTTTTATTTTTTTTAATCTATCCTTTGAATCAATTAAATGTTAAAGTTCCTTTGAATGCAGCCTTTCAACCACTGACACTGCAAACTATTTTACAGATAACCATAAACACTTGGGAAACCCTTTGGGTTGGTTTGGTGGTTTTTTTTCCCAGTTCTGTGTTTTGAGAAAAAGCCTATGCTAGCCTCAAAAGCGAGAAAGACCCTAACAAACCTGCTTAGCAGTTTGACACTTCATTTCTATTCATCCAAGATAGAGAGAACAGAAAACAAGAGCCCAGTGCTAACTGTGAGAGCACGCTGCCTCTTCTCCAGGAGGTTTCCAGAGTAACTTTAGGTGCAGGGGTTGTCTCCATGCCAGCACACACGACAGTAATAAACTGTTCACTTTACAAAATATTGTTGCAAGGCAGGATGTATGCTTTATAAGCTATTTCTGCCAGATTATTTTGTTAAACTCCTGGGATTTTTACATTGCTAAGGCTTCCAATTTACTTCTCTCACCATGTTCCTCCCCTTTTGGCTTGCTTTGGCTCTATGTATTGTATTTTGCTCATCTCTGTGGAAGAGCGCTTTTCAGGGCTAGCCTCTGTATTATTGCAATGGCCTTCAAGATACTCTCTGCCTTCCTTTGTTTTCTTATAAACCATTCCACAAAGAGCTGAGAGATCTTAAAGTGTCTCTTAAAACATGACACTAGAATTCTGGTTAAGCTTGCCAAGATTCCTGTGTTAACAACCCTATTTTATTCAGATAGGTAAAGATTTTTCCATGCCCCCGCCCCTTACACACTCTATTTATTTAGTTCTTTTATGCAGATTCTCATACCTTTCACAATGGATTGTGACTCACTTCAAACCCTCTTTCTTTTTCCTTCCCCCTCTCCACACCACGGCTGACAATATTTACTCAGTTTCTTTAGAATCTCTAAAGAGCACGAATTCTAATGTTTGAAGTTGGATCATTTTTGATTAATTAAATATATATTATGGTGGTGCCAGCAGCATGACTATAATTAAAGCTGTATCAGATTTTTATTTTTTTTTAAATCAAAAGCTCTGATTTTTTCAAGTGTTTGCTCATTCCTAGATGTGCTCACTCTCTCCCTCTCTCTCTTCTCACCTTCCCTCTCCCCTCATCTGGTTCCGCTCCTGCACACGCGCTCGCTCGCCTGTTCTCTCTCGCACCTGCAGTCCCAATCGCTCACCTCCTGTGGCAAATCCTCCTCCTGTGTCAGAAGGGTAGGACGCAAAGCGCATCCCTTCGAAAAGCAGCCCCCGCCAGCCGCTCGGCTGGTCCTGGTCTCCTCCCACCGCAGCCACAAAGCAACCTCGGGAGGGCAGAGTTTAAAGATGAAGCCACGCTCTGGAGAAGAGGTTTATCTGAACACACGGGCCAAACGCCGATACCTCAGCCCCTTAGAAAGATGATGTGCCTACCACCAAGCAAGCCTCCCCACAGGCAGTAAGTCCCTATTTCAGGGAGCTAAAAGGCACATCTAGGCTGTCCGAGATGTCACAGCCAGTAATACAAAACAAGATGTGCCATTCTAAGGTCTACACCGTGGTGCTGCAGTGATGGCTGTTTTTCTGGAGCCTATTTCCTTTCTCAAAGTGCTCCAACCAAGCTGAGCACAGAGCACTGAACGTGCAGTGCTGCCCTTTACTCAAAGCTCTTCCCGCTCTCACCACCACACAGCTTATCACAACCAACCATTGTGACTTCGGCAAAACTCAAGCAAAAAAACCCAGAAAGATTTTTTGTGTGTTTTTTTTTTTTTCCAAGAAACATTATACAGGGACAGAGGAAACAAGTGGCTGATGAAAGCAAGCAGAAAATCCCTCCACATTCTCAGTGTAATCCAAACAGCTCCTGTAAGCACATCCCAGAAATCTCAGCTCTCAAGACACAGCTGTGACCTTGTGGCACAATCCACATGAGAGGACGCTCACGCAGCCTTGCCCAAGCATAAAGCTTTGCTGCTGCGGATGCAGTTGTGGGCCACAGCGCATCTCTCTAAGGTCTCAGGTCACTTAAGGGACAACCACGAGTGCGAAATCAGGCCAATGGTAACAGATTTTTAACATAATTTGAAATGCTACTAGGTCCCCAAACACAAATGAGCAATGCCTTTGTTGTCACATGCTCCTGTACTTTAAAAAAAAGCTTTGCAAAAAAAAAATTTTTCTGGTAGCAAAGGAAAAGAAATAGATGCACAAAGGGAAGACTAACAGGGGCCTGAAGGTCACTGCTGTAATGACTCCACTTTGGACTGGAGAGCTTCACGGAATGAAAAGCCTCAACTGAAGAGCTTCACTGTCAATCTGCAGCAACAGGGGCCCGTATTTTCAGAAGAGACAACAACTAAACAATGACAAAACCAGGAACTCGTTCACAAAAACTCAGCATTTCTTTGGCATCGTACTTAACCGCTTGCCTGTCAGTTTGTTATTCAAATACAAAAAGAACTTCAAATACCATCTTTCAGAATGTACAGGTGTCTGGAATATTACAAGTCTAAACAGCAGCAACATTCTGGGCCCAGAGTATCAGACTATACTATTTTATGATCTGAAAACATAACCACACATTTATAAATTCCTCCTTTTTCAGAGATCCAAGACCTTCACACACAAGTTTTTGCTGTCAGTTAATGAAGAGAAGCACAAAATTGTTCTGTACTTCGGAAGATCAAGCAAAGCAACAGTAGGAGATCCAAGATAGATATTGTAATAATGCATGCCAAATGAACACCTTAACACTCCTAGAAATTTGTTTTCTTTAAGTAATAGTTCTGCACATATTACAGTCAATAAACACTGCTAACAAAACAATAATGTCTGCACAATCTTGAGAGGTTTAAAACAATGCGCTTCAAAAATAGGTATCATAAAAGCAGCATAGGTAGTGAATAAACTCAGGTTTCCTAAAATATAAAAATAGTTGCAAGAAGGTAATATTTTATTCTCTTGACTTAGATGACAGTTAAATCACATTTTATGACAAATTAATGCAGAACACCATGAAATTCCAAAAGCTTCACATATTCTTTATTGCAATTGTATAACGGCTTTCTCTAAATGTGAGCTCCCTGAAAACAATTAGTTAGGAAGCTCAGCTTTTATTAAAGAAAATATTGATACATGGCTTGGGACAGAAAAAGCTTGAAAATATAAACCAAGTGCAGAGCTCTCAAAACCCAGAGTGTAAACAGAAAAGGCACATGAGAAAAAACCCCAAAACATACCAAAAGCAAACTCATGATTTTGTCGGGCTTCAGTCCATCAACTGAAAGAGAACTCGTCAGCATTTTCTAAGGCAAACACTGCCAGTCACAAAGCCATGAGAGCAACCACCAGCCCCCCATAAGGCTACCAGTAACTCATTTTCCTCTTTCGGAGTTTAAACCTTTTCTAGAACACAGAAATTTTTTTTTTCCAGCTTGAATACTCCCTGCTATAGGTTATTCAAAAGGCCTGCATTAAAGAGCAGCCACACTTGCACAAACTTGAACTAATAGTGGATTTTGCAACACTTCTGCTGTGAGTCCCTGTATTTTTCAGGAAAAACAGAGTACTTCAAATTGTATCACTAGAAAAGGCAGCTAATCCTTCCCAGATCCAACCACTACGTATACCACATTGAAATGTTTTGGCTGACTAAGCCCATTAAAAATTTAAAGCCTCGCTTTAAAAGGAGAAAGAGGTAAGACTGCATGGATAATTCTGAAGTGCTTTATAAATGCTGTTGAAACAGTAAACCCATTTTATGGATGAAGTACAGATCTTAGCTAAGTAGTACATGGACATTCAAAGACATCTTTTGTAAGAGAGCTGGGAATTGAAATCAAGTCATCTAAGCTGGTAGGTTTTTGCCCAGTTGCAATGTCTTCATTTTACAAGATCCCTTTCTTGTTGCTGCTCACCTCTTGTGCAAACGACTCTGCTTTCTTCCGCAGGTTCTTTTCCAGTTCAAAGTTAACGTGAAGCTCTTCATACTCCTCTACTGCCAGCACAGACACTGTAAGAACAAAACAAGATCAGAAGTAAAAGTGGAATGGATAAAAAGAAGTACTGCTTGGTTAACCCAGATTACCTGCTACTCCCTAGTGCCATGAATCCTTGAATGAAGGTGTAACCTAGTTTTACAGTTCCGTATTAGAGTCTGCTTTGCAACATTTGTCCTGTTTTACACAGGTCCAAGACAGTGCTGCCTAGACACAGAATATAGTAGGAGTAGAGTAGATACTTTAGTAGTTTATTTCAATTCTTCCTTCCTGGTAAACAAACTAACGTGAAACATTGGGTTGTTCTTTTGATTGTGCTTGGAAAGAAGAAAACATTTCAGAAACATTCTACCTGCTGCACCATGCCATCAAAAGATTCTTCAAGTTCTTCTGTCCAACCAACCTATCTTGGTGTTTTCAGAGTATTCAAGTAGTGCCTGTCAGAGGCACAGGCCATGCAGACTTATGAAAGAGGCAAGAGCTGAACATCTGGTGGATACTTCCAGGATATGCCCTACAGTGCAAGCTGCCTCTCCTCATGCTGAGAGACAGCTACATTTTTTATAGAAGATAAAATAGTGTCCCACTGGGCAGTAAAGAAAGAAAAGGAAATAATTTTCCACTAAAAGTTCATACATTTCCCTGTAATTCAAAACTCAGCTTGTCCTTGACAACATGGATTACACTGATTTTGTGCACTTTTCCCAAACAAAAAGGGAGTATTATTGGCAGAAGGTCATGGCATCACTGGAGTCTTCACTACTCCAAAAACTTTGCTCTTCTCCTGTATGTTCACTATTCAGCTATGGCTTGACAGAGCCCTATCGCTTAGATTTTTCCTGCCCTGGTTTTATCTCTTACTTCTTTCCAGGAAAGTGAAGTGCCTGCTTCCCTTCCGTACCTTGGAAATCCTATTTATCTCATTCCCAGCACTCTTGCCTTTCTCTCAGAATCCTCTGAACATGGAAGTAGCTTTCAAGTCTTTAGATATTCAAAATTATTAGCTGTGTCTCAACTAGAAGAAAGGCTTCTATAATAGCTTAGAAAAACAGGAGACTAAAGCTCAAACTCTGTGAAGGACTGCCTTCCTGCCCTAGCTTGCCACTTGTGCCACATTGCAAAAAAAAGTTTTCCTGTTCTCACATACAACCTGCTATTTATGCAGTCACATTTTCCTGGAGTAAATAGTCTAGGACAGTCCATGTGTTTACGCAGCACCTGCAGAAACGAGGCTGAGTGTCAGATCTGGACCACAGTCACCATTCTGTAACCTGCTCTTTACAACATAAAAGCTCGTAAGATCGTGCAAAACTGTTAGAGAACCTGCTGACACCACATACCTCTGTTACATTTCTCCAACAGTTTTTGCTGCTTGTTAACTTCGGTTGTCAAAACAGCCTTTTCTTCTTTCACTTTGTTCACCTGGAAAAATATAAATCATAGAATCATAGAACAATTCAGGTTGGAAAAGACCCTTGGGATCATCGAGTCCAACCACTGACCCTACACTACAAGTTCACCCCTAAACCGTATCACCCAACACCACATCTAAGCAACGCTTAATCCCATCCAGGGATGGCGACTCAACCACCTCCCTGGGCAGTCTATTGCAGTGTCTGACCACTCCTTCCGTGAAGAATTTCCTCCTAATGTCCAGTCTAATTTCTTCCTAATGTCTAGTCTAAAGAACAAATAAAAAAGTAATAAGTATTTTAGCGGCAGTATTTTGTTTGCAGTGTTTCTGTTTGTTAGGTTTGGCTGGATCTTAGCGTTTCCAGTGGGACGTAAGGCAGGCCCCGTAACCGAGAGCACTGACGGGTTATGAACCATTCCTTCCCATGGGGCTCCCATGGCCCATTCTCACAGCACGTACCAGTCACAGCTGCAAATCTAACATCTTTGGAACCTTTCAGGATGTGGCGCCACAGCACCTGGTTGAAAAGTTACTCGCTGGCCCTTGACTGTTTGCTTTTTAATATAGTCAGGCCACTGTTTTGCTTTTTTCCCCGGGCTCTGTTTATTGTCCAAGAGCCATCAGCTGTGTCTTTCTGAATGCAAGTGCCGCACAGACAGGAAGAGCTACTAAGTCCTGATTTGCATCAGTACATGGCTTATCCAGTTTCCAAGCAAACTGAGCTGGCTCAAAAAGCCAATTTGCTGGTCTAATTACCATGACAGGGCACTGCCAATGGCTAAACTCAAGGATGTGCTCAACGAAGTAGCACCAGTGATTAAACTGGACGTCCTCCAAAAGTATTTCTTGCACATCCACAGGTTTAAGGAAATAAATTTAAAAAACCACACCAAAACCCACAGGCTGCAATTGGTGAGGGGCTGTCAGGAAGGGGAGATGAGAATTATTGTACAGGCATTAAAACAGATCATGAGAAGTCATGTGCCAGCAGCAGGCTGGACTCCGGTGTAGAAGGCCCCTTAGTCATATGCCCCAAGTCGTCCATCATATGGGCAGCCTGGCAGGGCTTGCAATTAGTTAGTACTCGATTAACGTCACAACTGAGCGTTTTTAGTAAAATTAGATACAAAAAGTACTGACTACACGCTAACGTGGTCTCGCCTTCCATGGCACAATACATACTTCTTCAATTACTTCTACAAGTTTGCACCTCAGGTTTTCCAGTTCAATGGCTAAGGTCTTCTTTTCCTCATGAACAGATATGATTTGATCTCGCAGCTCTACGGTTTGAAGGAAGGGAATAAAAAATATATGTTATTCTTGGAAAAAAACAGCAATAGGAATGCCATAGCAAAGCAAGTACCACAGAGCACAAAGCACCTTAACAGCATACAAAGCACCAGTTGTACACAAGGTACATCCTCAATAATTTAGGTAATCTGCATAAGCATCAAGTAACAGATAGAGAACAGGGCTACCGTTTCAGATTTACTCTGTTGAGGTAAGCTGCCTTGTTCAGCACTGCTGTCTTTATCTGCATTCTGAATGATTCATTTCTTTCTATAATAGGGCCAATCCTGCCACCACAGAGTGTCCTCAGTCCTACTCAGGAGACCGTCACATCACAACGACTCTGGTACAGAGGCAGCAGAAAGCAATTTTTAACAGGCATCCTTTAAAACAAATTAATGCACTTCAATTCCTTTTGGATCATGAGTTCTTGTCACAAGGGAAATAAACAAAACAACAGGCAGTTAATACTTGGGAGGTTTTCACTGAAGAAATTGTCCTGAACAGCTGCCAATTTATAGTCTTTGTAACATTATGTGAACAGAGTCAGAATGGAACCTTTGCTGATGGAAGAGCTAATGCTTGTAATTTTCCGCTCAGAATTTTTGTTCCTTAATTATTGAAATATGAAATAAATTAAATTCACAATGGAATAAAGCATTTTATTATAATCACTTCTTAACAGGAGATCAGTTTGCATACATAATATATCAAGGTTTAGGTTAACATAAAATCAGCGCAAAAATATAAATTTATTGATGTATATTAGCTTTCAGCAAGTGCTCTCGTTCCCCACCTGCTTCCAGTATTTCATAGCACTGCGGTTCAGTGAATATCAGCCACGAGTTGAGAAAATTGTTGCTAATCAATTGCAGAGGATGATGACACACTGGACGTCACTCTGTTTGGTCTCACATCTTGAAAATGTTGATTTTACTCCAGACCCCTAACACTCAATTCAAGAGCCTCAGATTATTTTCCTCCAAATTAAAGGTTCACACATTCTAAAGTAGACTAAAAAGACTTGTTTTCCTCAAAGATTCATGAGCCAAACAGTCTGCTTCATGGATTTGTGCTTTCCAGTGAAATTAATGGGAAAAATAAGTCTCACTGAAATCTATAGTAACTGGATTAAGTCAGGTCTTATAATACACATAACCAACATCATACAGAGAATAAAGCATATTCATATAGCTAAATCTTTATAAATATGTAAAAGAAATATGTTATTTTTCAGATACAGGGTATGTACTAAACTGCTTGACTAACAGTCAAGTTTTCGATTCTTATTTTAACCAAGAAGTCAGCTAAAATTAAACCCAAAACCTATAAATGAATTCGTTACTGCTCTGAGAATGTTCTACACTTCCAGTAGGAACTACGGTTTTACTATCACCTTTTCCTAATATGTGAGATGGCAAAAACAGAGGAAGCTGAGGGACAAAATGTTATCCCTTTAATTAAATGAGAAGGCTTTAATCAAAGAGCCTTAGACTGTACTACCTTATTTGTATTTCCTTACAGAAAAGTGGTGGGAGGGAAGGAATCACTCCAAGAAACATCCAGTACTGCTAAAAGACTTCCAAGATTCCCAACACAAAACAAAACTGCTTGGAATCATAAACACGCACAGAGGAGTCGACTTCACCTTGGGCAATGCCACAAAGCATTAAGGGGAGTTTTGAAAACATCTTTCATTGCATGTGGTCCTTCACTTAGCAGGGAACCCAAGATGTAACTTCAGATTTCTCCCTGAAGGATACGGCTCAGCTGAGGGCCACAGCCCCGGCGCTGCCTTTTGGCACTTGCTGTCACATCCCTCTGCTACCACACACACACTTCTCTCCAGACACAGGGACAGAATATCTTCTCCTACAGCAAATGGGATGCCAACGCTTTTAAAATACCCAGCACTTGTCAAATACAGTAATTAACATTTAATAATAATGCCAGAGAAAGGAGCAGAGGCCAGGAGTTCTAAAACCTTTAAAATATGCCGTATTTTGTTCTTTAATGAATTTTTCAGCAAGACAGAATGCATATACTTCAGAACCTTGATATAAATACCTCTTATCTGACCTCACTACCCTTCCAACCACATTCTCCTCTGATCTCCAGTCAGAGTCTTTGCTGTCCTTAAATGTATCCTTGGCCATCTTTCTCCAGTGAAGGACAGGACGAACTTCAGAGTTTTATTTCTGATTCACATGGGTTGCATGTTATGGATCACACATCTCTCTGCCTCTTTTCCCACATCTATAAGACGGAAATTTGCTTATCATAGGAGGGTACTAGGACATCTTATTTCTTGGGTGTGGTTTTTTCATGGGTTGGGAAATCTTTTTAAAGCATTTTTTAAACAGCAATTCTTTTTCCTCAGCAATACGTTGTACCACTTCATTGAGGCTGCTGCAGATTTCTCAATGTATTTCCATGTTCCCTAGCTTTCCTGCTTCACATGGCATCACAGTCCTTTTTTTAAGTTGCTTCTTTTGTTAATAGCTCTGGAACACGAAGAAAAGTTTGTGCATACAAAGGTACACAATGGAAAGAGAGAGTCCTGTCTTACAAGCTTTGAAATAGTGACACAGCACTTGAATCAATACTAAGGTGACCTTGTCCTGCTGCTTAACTTTTACTTTATCAAGGACTTGAGGAAATACTTCTTTTACCAACTCAGTAACACTGAACTCTGTTAGCTGTGTAGATTCTCTTTTCCTATACACAGTATCACTACAAGCCTACCATGTTTCTTGCAATCCTTTCTGGAATTTCTTTGATGATCACTCTCAGAAGAATGACTCGAAGCCAGACAGATCTCTGGTCCAAACCAGCACCGCCATTCTTTAGACAACTTTTGCCTTGTGTGGTGGTGCAGGCTCAGCAACACTCACCTTTTATTTGCTGCTGACAATGCACAGAGTTGCATGATCCAGAGTGAGCCTCTGTATCCGTGGATGAATCATCCTCATCAATGTTAATCTCTTCAGTGATAATTTCAGGGCCCAGTTTTGCCATATAAAGCATACTAATTCTTTTCAAGGTCTTATTTTCTTTGTTCAGCTGAAAGTTGAGAAGCACAAACAGTGAGAAGCTACTTACAGTCTGTCTTTAAGCTGCTGTGCCCAAACCCTCCCCTCTCCAAAAAAATAATCAACTGCATTTTTTTTCTCTCTCTTATCATTAAAAGATCTACAGAATAAAGACAACAAAGTAACATTAAACGCTTCATTCAACACTAAAATAGTCTGAAGATGGGAAGTTTGTCCACTTTCTCCTCCAAGGAGGCTTGATTGCAACATGATACTTCACCCATGCTGGTAACCTTGTGCCAGCAACAACAGGAGCCCCGACTGACTGACCTGAAGAAAGGCTTGTGTTCCTGAAAGCTCGTCTGGTTTTGCCAGCTATAAATTGGTTAAATAAAAACTCTTACCTCCTCCTACACCCTTATTTCACTTGTAAACTACAAACACTACAGCTACTGTACTCCCAGTCACAACAGAATTACCTCAAAACTGTTTTGAATTATTTTCAATTCTCAGAAATTATTACTGGAGAGTCAATATATGTAAGACAAAAGCCATCTCACAAACCAGTTCTCTACAGGCCAAACTGCAAGTCAGAAACCGTTCTGGGCTGGATGCTAAAACACATGACTGGTTGATGGACGATATAGAGGAGGTTCTGCAAGACGTCTCCGTCTTGATCAATGTGCCAGGAAAAACTGAACAACAGTGATCGCTGCAAATGTTTCACTCTCATCATTTCTTTCACGCTCCTACACCCAAACACCTCAGGCCAGCAGCTCTCAGCAAACTCAGCACATTCTCAGGGATGTTCAGGCATATGTTTGGGGTGACTGCCCACCCACCAGCCTAGCGTTCAGGTCTAAGAATGAGACTCAGTTTTCTGCTAATGACACAGAACATGTCAGTCAATGTGCACTTCAGAAGTGTCCAATATCTGCATTCAAATAAAACATATAATGTACAGTTAGGCTGACCCTGAATTTTTACCTGAGCAATCATCTTTGACCCTCCTGTTCATCAGCCCCCTTCCCCAACTACTGGAGATTTACTCAAGAACTTCCTCTCATTCCCAAAGAATGAGCAAATGGCAAGAGTGGTGTGAGGAACTTAACGTGGTTTGGTCAACGCACAGCAGCAAACATATCAGCTTTGGCAAAGCAACTCCATGAGGCAGAGCTAGTCTTTGAAATTCCTCTGTACGTGCATTATAGGAAAAGTACAAAGAAGAAAAGTTGCATAAATACATTCATGTTCTTACTTATACGCTGATTGTCTGTCTTATGAATTCTAATATAGTGTCATTATGCAAACAATTAAGTAAATACCTCCAGAAAGTACATTGCTAATGCATCTAAATTAAAGTGATTTCTTGCTGGTGTGATTTTTACCATATCTAAGGATGTTCTTTGGGCAGGGGATGGGAAAGGGGGGAGTGGAAGGAGATTAAAAAAAAGGCAGTCAGCATTGCTAATGAAATTTGGTTCAAAATTGCTGTAATCCATTTTCTGATGAAGTGGCTCAGATGCATTTTACACAACCAAAATATATAAGAGAGATAAAAACATTCTTTAATAATAATGCACTTCTGATGAGATGGAATATAGAAAATTACACACTTGTTAAATTCATCAGACTAGACGCAATCAACAGAGCAGCGGAGGTCACCTTTCCCCTGCCCTTGCTTTGCTTTCATAAACAATCACCTGAAATGTAATGCAGTAGTTGACTTCTTCCATTTGATTTAGACACTGAAATGCTCATTATTGTTTTTATATCTCACACAGGACAGTTCTAAAACTTGTTTTCCATTTAACCTAAATGCATATAAAAATTAGATGTCGAGATGCTGGTCTCTGACTCACTGCTGCAAAACAGAAACTAAATTAAAATTAGTATTTTTCTCTTTAAAGGCAGGAGCTGTACTTTGCATCCTACATATGGCTTATAGTATTTGCCACTTTAAAATAATTTCACAGATCCGCAAGATTATATGAAAACATATATGCAACATGCATACAATCTCAAGTTAAAAAAAAAGAAAAGAAAAAAGAAACTGGATGAAAAAGAATCACCATAATTCTCTCACCTTGGAAGCCAAAGCCTCGGCGCTTTCACGGCACGTCTTCTCAATTTCAAGATGGTTCTGAATACAATTTACTTCCTCAATAACCATGTGAGAAACTAGGGGAAGAGTTTAAAAATTAGTCAGTGTTTCCATGCATTTGACACATGCATCCCATGATCAGAAATATTACATCCATTAACTTTATGCATAAGCATTTAAAATACAGAGAAGTACATACTTCGATAATCTCCATGGACAGGACCCGATTTGAACATTGAATATCTGGTTCATTAAGTAACTCTTTCAAGTCATGTCTGCAGCATTAGAGGGGCAACTGGAGAACTGACCATAAATTTATGGAAGTAGAAGGCGAGTAGGAGCCTCCCTGACCATCCCCATTCATCATCTTTATTTCATTAACACTTGAGGAATCAGAGTGAGACCATTAATACTGTCTGTTAAGACTTCATAGAATCATAGAATGTTAAGTTTTGGAAGGGACCTCGAAAGATCATCTAGTCCAACCCCGCTGCCAGAGCAGGATCCCCTAGGGCAGCCACACAGGAACGTGTCCAGGTGGGTTTGAAAGTCTCCAGAGAAGGAGACTCCACACCCTCTCTGGGCAGCCTGTGCCAGGGCTCCGGCACCCTCACAGTAAAGAAGTTTCTCCTCATGTTGAGGTGGAACTTCCTATGTTCTAACTTCAACCCATTACTCCTTGTTCTATTGCTGGGCACCACTGAGAAGAGATTGTCTCCTTCCCCTTGACACCCACCCCTCAGATATTTCGATACATTAATAAGATCCCCTCTCAGCCGTCTCCTTTCAAGGCTGAACAGCCCCAGGTCTCTCAGTCTCTCTTCACAGGAGAGATGTTCAAGTCCCTTCATCATCCTCGTAGCTCTCCATTGGACTCTCTCCAGTAGGTCCCTGTCTCTCTTGAACTGGGGAGCCCAAAATACTGGACACAGTATTCCAGGCGTGGTCTCACCAGGGCAGAGTAGAGGGGGAGAAGAGCTTCCCTAGACCTGCTGGACACACTTTTCTCACTGCATACCAGGATCTCATTGGCCCCCGAAAATTTGGTACGGACACCTTTTTCAGAAGACTGAAACCTCGATACTTTTAAGCAGCAAGATTAACTCAGGTATGTTACAAAGATTATTTTCACCTTCCTGTCATCAGGTTTACACGGTATTTTAAGTATTGCCACACTTGCTAAACACACTGTACAAGAAGAGTTGCAGGAGGGGCAAATAGCACAGGCCTGGGGGAGTTCACTAGGAAAGGGAGGAAGGAGTGAAGTGATTGAAGCCTCCGTATTCATAGTGCCTCCTACAGCACATGCTCCAACTAAGCCAAACCCCAACCACAGCACTGTTCCCCCCTCTTGCTCTTCCCTATCAGCTTCAAAGCTACGTGCAGCAGCTGGGACACATCCCGATGGATGCAGCCCTGATGGAAACCCAGCACTGCTCGCACTGCCTGATTTCTGACCACCTCAGCTGAACAGCCTGGGGTTTGTATCACTGTATGGCTGTGGCACCCGACCTGCTGCTTATCTGAACTCTCTCTTTGCTCGTGCACGCCCCAAAATGAGCACTGTGGTATCACACGCTACCCTCACAATCCACAAGGAAGATTCAGACACAGTATACACACACTAAATCTTTCCTGGGACCCGGGCTGAGCGCGAGCTGTTTGACCGCACCTGAAATACGCGGCTGCGCTGCCGCACTTGATGTCGCAGCTGGAAAAGCGAAATACATCTGTCCTTTGCACTTTCAGGATCCCTATGACCGCACTGGGTACACATCGCTATGTCAAAGACACGCAATATTCTCAGAGCGACCAAAAAGTTATGGAAGAAATCTTATTTTGTAACCTAGGATATCAACGTGAGTAAGAAGGAATTTAAAAGCACAGACACATTTTGACCTGCAATTCCCCTCAACTTCCAGTGGCACGTAGGTACTTCACTAGTATCCAAAGTCTTCCAAGTGACAAGCTTCAGGTCACACAGGGGATCTGGAGCAAAGCAGAAAACCCAGCAGTGGTTTCCTATTTCTCAGGCTAGCACCTTCCTTGTTGGTGCAACTCCTCCTTGATTACTGGCACCTTTAGTAGCAGTCTGGACCCTAATTCTACAAGCCAAATGGTGCAGATTCCTTCCGTCAGGATTTCAATGTGCAGAAAGGGCTCTATGCTGCTGAACAATGCTTTGGAGCAGGAACAAGGCTGGAAGAATATAGGGTAATTATGAAGGATTTTTTTATAGCATCTCCTTTCATTTGCCTGAAGATAAGCTTTAAAATGTAGTGATTTTATGTAGAAAAATATAGTAAAAAGTCCCACTTGCCTTCCAAGCCTTTTGCCTAAATACTGAATTGAGATACTTAAGTCTTCTTTGATACCCAGAGGTCACCTTCATAGAATCACAGAATTGTCAGGGTTGGAAGGGACCTTAAAGATCATCTAGTTTCAACTCCCCCGCCGTGAGCAGGGACATCCCCCACTAGACCATCTAGACATCTTAATGACAACAAAACTGGACTTTAGGATAGGAAGAAGTATATCAGTAACAAGCGTTATTTTTGCAGCTTTACAGATACTTACTCAGTATTAACTGACGTTTTCATTAACATAGGAAACCAGCAATACATTGGAGTTTGCTGTCAAATCAGCAGCTGTGTGCAAGAAACAAGCACTACAAAATACAAGCACGCAGAAAAAAAAGCAGGATAGAGGATTGAGAAATTTTGGTCCAAAAACTCTAATTACATGAAGCCTCCTAAGAGCAGAGCAATCACATCTCTTCATTTAGTTGTCTTTTTGCTTCCATTTCTTCTGACTTTGGAGAGATTATCTGCTCCACGTGTGCGGTACCAGCCACTACATTTAATCTGAGAGAGGAAAAGCTTCAGGTAGCACACATCCATAACTTTTCTGACTTCCTTTTGCCTAGCTATGGGAATCTGTAGTGCTGAAAACCTTTGGGCAGGATGAGGGAGCAGTGGAGATAGAGATGCTCATGTTTTACAGACAGGAATCTAATGGCCTCAAGCAAGGCTAAAGTTAGGAAATAAGGATTGGGCTCATATGGCAGAACTAGAGATTACTCTTGGTTCATTTAAACTTAATTAACCTGCAATTATGATTAACTCGGGGGGAAAAAATCTTTCCAAATTAAATACAAAAATATATTATTTCCTAAGTCTGTCCAAAGTTCTTATTATGTCAATATTAAAATTCATAAAGCAGCACTAAGTGGCCTGAAACATCTCTAACCTTGACAGTTTTTTTCAGGGGTAATAATAACCCGCAGCAAATGCAGGCCAACCAAAAACCACTTAACTAATTAGTAGTTGCAGTCACCGAGAAAACATGAATCAACACTGTTATTACAAGTGGCACATTTGAGTGGCATCTAATTATGACTTGATGAGCACGATACTTGCATTATCAACATTACTACTGCATCCCATCAGGGACTAAAAGCCGCTGATGGCATTGACTGCGAGAAACTCCCACTCAATGGTGCTGCAGCACCCAACAATCTCCTTGGCAGGGGCACCCTCACTAAATGACATGTTAAGCATAATTACTGGTAGACATTGTAAATAAACAGGATTGGAAGTGAAAATTGTACCAAGTGCATAAGACACAATCTGACACATTGGAAGTGGCAGCCTTAATTGAGAGTTTCTTTGACTGCTCAAGATCATTTCAACTGCATTTCTCGGAGGACAGTGATTATAACTGTGGAGACAGACGGCATAATGGTATCAGCACTGCTGACAGAGCAGTGAATTAAATTGTATCTGCTGTTGTGTGAAAGCCTTGATGAGAGGTACAGATCCTTAGTGGTCTTATCATTATAACACAATGGTCATGTTGTCATCAACCTTGCTGGCTCCAATTGAAAAGAAATGATTGTGTGTTGAAGCTTTCCCCCCCACCACCACCTTCTATCTCTTGTGCTCAATAGAACCAATTTTCAGAGAGCTATGAAATCACGCAATAGGGCCTAAAATGCAGCTGCTTGGCATACAAACGGGCCCCATTAAACTGGAATCACACACAATATGTGTTTATGCCAGGAGAACAAATAGAAGCTGAGTACAGGCCAAGTTTATTCACAGACACAAAGCCAATGTAGCTCTTCATCAATATAATTGCCTTTTATATTGTCGTTTAAATAATGGGCTCTATTATTGCCCTAAAATCCTAATATTCCTGGCATTTTATCACTGTGTTTACAAGGTATGTCCTTTAAAAATGTGAAAGGAAGATAAAAGAAACCTATAAAATTTTACAACATCAAATATTACTTCGAATTTTAAGTCTTAACTACTTGACATTTTCTGCCACACTCTGGTATTCCTCGTATCGTAACAAAACCAAAACAGGCTGTATTTTTTTCCAGAAGAATTAGACTTGTGAGAGAACATTCTTGCCTCACAGAACAGTGATCTGAGATCATTTAAGGCAGTAGATGATTCCTGTTGATTTCAGATTATTTTCCATAATTGTATCATGCAAACAATTATACAACAGAAGTGAGGAAATTCCTCTATTAACACAGGCACACAAAAGTACAGACCATGTGATCTCTTTCTCCTGCATTAACTTCATCCACATTTCTGATGCTTCACCGTGCAGTTCACAGTACTGGCACAAACCAGACATAACAGACCACAATCCTATTGTAATTGTCTCTTCTAAGGAGCTGTACCACTAGGATACTTCCACTCCCATTAGATGTGCTTTGTTGCTCCCAGACACCATACAGTTTCAATAGAACCATTACCATAAAAGTGTAAAACCGAATATTGACATTCTTACAGTCCAGACAAGAAGGAACGTGCTCTCAAAATTATCAAGCGACAGCAGTTTGTCCTACAAACTTCTACTGGTGCGTCTACCCTTGAAGGAATTTTACTTCCTCTTCATGAAAAAATTACCATTTTTATTAGCGATCTTGGCAATGCTGTCAAACCCCACTTAACAGAGGCACGCATCGTTCCAAAAGTCACTTGCAGAACACAGGTGAGATAAACCCGCATTTGTACCACTGTATTTTCACCACTTCGCACCTTACAAATGGCTGTGTCAGAGAGTATGAATGCCGTGACAGCAGTTAGTCTGACAATGGTCAAAGTCCAACCAGATTAGCTCCTCAAAACAAGGCTTTGAAGGAGAAACAGCAAGTGGACCCAAATCTCAGTGTCCTTAACACTGCTGTAGAGTACGCAGAGCAATGGTCACAACTCTACACCACAAAATTCCTACTAACATTATCAACTTACTTTTCTGAAACTCCTCCAGTTTTTTGACAGCCTCATCTCGTTCTTGCTTGATTTTGACACACTGTAGGAGAAGAGAAAATTGCAATGAAACGCTGATCCTGGTTATTTAATTAGCAGTCAGTCACAACGTGCAAAATCAACAATGATCAATTGCCAGCACAATAATGTAGAGAAGTCTATCAAAGCAACATTTATTTGTGCTCTCTGTCATGTAAGATCGATGGAAACTATGCATCAAAAATTCATCACCCAGAGTATTTCCTAACCAAACTGGCAAGCTGCACTTGATTTTAAGTTCCAATTCAGAGCCACTGCAAAAATATTTTAGAAGAGCCAAGTTACCCAAAACTGACATAAACCATTGCCTATGCTCCTCACAACAGCAAAATATACTTTGCATGTCAGGAATATGCTTTAAGTCTAGTTTTTTTAATACAAACAGACTTGGAAAAGTGGCCTGCATTTCTATACCTACCTGTGCAAGGAAAACCTCGAAGTCAGTAAACAGGGGACACATTTTTCCGTTTCATAACATCACAAACAAAACCTCAGCCTGTAAGAGGGGAGGATACTCCTTTTCATACTTTGAATATTTCCCATTATTCCAGTTTTATTAATTTTGGGGTTACCTCTAATACTACACAGGGCTGCAATCACTGATCTTATGATGGAAATGTTTCTTCAAAGAGAAAGAATAAAACAGACGTTAAATAGACTTCCCTAAGAAAAGCCCTTCTATAAGCAAATGAAAGGACTCGAAAAAAATGAGTAAACTTCACAAGAGACACAGTCAGTGATTAACCACACTGTGAAAAAACACATGACCCAGGGGGAAGTATGACTGGTGCTCAATGTGTCTTACACACACGGCGTACCAGACATCCTTCCTCACATGCAGCTGTGTTTGCTCAGAGTACAAATCAATGTAAGACCATGAGTTAACTTCTGGAAAAGATCTGTGTGACTGAGCTCCATACAGCGTAACTGCAATTACAAGGACACCGGTCATTGGAACAGAACTAGGGGAGCGGGGGGGAAAACCCAACCCGAAATGATTTTGCTCGATTTTCAGTTTTTCCACATGAGGACTCACTTTGAGTTAGCTGGGAAAGGAGCCTGCTGTTAAGTAACAAGAAGGGGGAGAGCCCGATTCAAAGGCAGCCAAATTCAAGAGAGCCCTTCTATCAGCTCCAGAGGACCCTGGCTGAGGCCCAAGGAAGGATCTGCTCCTGGGCAAGGAGAGCAGGCCATTGGTGTCACCTCAGGGGCAGCCTCCGTGCCGGCTTTGGAAGCTGTTGCTGCTGCTGGCTGCTTGTGGGAGCAAGAGGAGCTGAGCTCAACAAGCAATTTTTCTTCTTGTGGCACTGGAGTGATGAGGCAAGGGACAGCAGTTGAGTAGCAGGGCCAGGTCAGTCACCAGCTGCTGTAAAGGTCTGTGAAATAAGGCAGAAGCGCAGAAGCAGCAAGAGGTGCCGGACAAGGACTCCCTGTTTCACCCGGACCTGTTAACAAAGAAGCTGTTTAGAGGGTCTTGCACAGGAGAGTTAGGGAAGGGAAATCTGTGCATGATTCCTGCC